TACTCTTTCTTCCAGTTGAGCGTCCTCCAGCGAGTTTGTCCGCGACGAGAAAGTCGTTGCTTGCTTGACATTGACAGCACTCGTGAATTCCACGCCTCCATTCATTACAACTGTAGCTGTAAGTACGACCAGGGTTGAAAATGAACGCATCGTTGAAACAGCAAGAAGTAGTGTGATGTTTGATGCAAATTGTAAAATGAATGATGAAACTTTGCTGAGCAGCACCTTATCAGTCTCGTCGTATGTTGAGATCGACACACGCAAGCAATCCATTTGTCTCACTATATATCCATACAGAAAAGGCGAACTGGATCTAATCGAGAAAAAAGTTGTACTGTGGCCATACTAGGCAACGTCGACAATCTTGCAAACAGTGCCAAGATCAAGAATTATACCGTCCAGAAGGGATTATGGTAGCTGCACAGACCCTTTTGCAACGCTTAATCTAAGAAAAATAGCCAGATCACCTGCACTCTGGGTACGGGAAGGTTTCCCGAATTTTCACGATTAGCGCACGATTGGAGAGCTTTGTTGCCCGCAATCAATGAAATAAGATTCAAATGGATTGATGATCGGACGCAATTAACACATTCGCTTTGTCGTTCATCGCAAATTTTTGCTCGTCTTCTTGTAATCTACATAGCATTTCAGCGGTAAACAGAACCCATCCACGTGATTGACCATCAACAATAAGGAGGTCGCATCGAACAAAAACAAAACTCTTTAACACCTGGTTGAACGTATAGAAAACGCCATTGCTCTGTTTGCGTCGCTTGCGATCGTTTTAATGTATCGACTGGAGTGTCGTTCACCTTAATCGGAACGACTGAGTCACGGCTAGAACCTCGGGAGTCAAAATAATCGGCAAAAGATGACGTACGTATTGTACACTTTATTTATTCAACATAGAGAACAAGAGTAAAAACATAAGGGTAGTTATGAAGCTACAGAGCTCAAAAGCTATCTTGGATACCAATCTTTGGAAATTTTGAGGATAGCTTAAAAGATGAGTATTACAAAATGTACTTGATAACTCGTGTTTACCTGTTAATACAATTTGAAAGGTTCGGTCAAGTGGATGGTCTTCGTTAATCTTCTTTGTTACAAAAGGGGAGTACAGTACATGCAGACTGGCTAGTGGCAACAAAAAGGTCATTGTTGGCGCCAATGACGATATCAGGCGACAGAGTGGAGGCTT